TTACATAATTTATTACTAAATATTTTAATGCAATTCAAACTAATCCAAATTTATTCAGTGCGGCAGACCACTTCTGGGCACTCACGAGGTAGTCAGGAGATGTCAAGCCTAGATATTAAGCTCAACATTATATAATCTATTTATATAATAATCTTAATAAAGGATCACTGGCAAGGTTGCCAAAGATTAAAAAAAAAAATATCAAATTTATTCAAAATATGCAAAATTTGCTATATGACTAGACAGTATTAAAAAAAACATTTATAAAATAATGAAATAGTAAATTATAATTTGAAAAATACAAATTTATTCAAATTTATCAAATTATCTTTTAAATAATTTTGAATTGATATATATTCATATAGCATATTTTTTATTTTATTTCATTTATTCAAATTATTTCAAATTATACTAAATTTAATAACTAAAAAACAATTTATTCATATAAATAAATATTATAAATTTTATAGCTTAAACTATATTATTTTTTTATTTAAAATTTTTAAATATATACATATAAAAAAAGCTAACTAATCTTATATTAAAGAAATATATAAAAAATAAAAGAAAAAACAGCAGTATTATTCTATATAAAAAAAAACAAACAAAAAAAACTTTTACTTATCATTATTTGTATCTTCCTCATTATTATCAGTATCTTTTTCTAAATCATCATCGTCACCCAAGAATGAAGAACCGGAAGATATGGGTTTAGAATCATTTTCATTTGCTTTATTTTCACCTTCATTATCTTCATTTGAATCTATTTGCACTAATTTAGATATGTTAAAATTATTTAACAATTATGAAATGTAATAAATTAATTTGACTAATTTTGATATTTTTTTATTACTTACCAACTCATGATCTTTTATTTGTCTAAAATAATTTATAAATATTAAATTATATTAAATTATTTTAAATTATAGTCGGACCTCCCTAAATGCAACCTCTATAAGTACAATACCTCCCTAAATGCACATTTTTGTCTTGGCTGTATAAAATCATTAGTGCTAAATGCATGTTCTATACTCTGCAAATGCACATTCACTCAAAAGATTTTTTATATCATACTAACCTCCCTAAGTGCACATAGCCAATCAGAAGTTAGTATTTAAATTTGTTACACAAACCTGCAGATCAAATATTAAAAACTGCAATTTGATTGGCTCCCTCTAAATGCAAACCTCCCTAAATGCACGTTTTAAGCTGGTCTGTATATGTTGCATTTATGGAGGTTTGACTGTATATTAATTATCAAACCTTTTCGAAATCCTTCGAATTATTTTTATATTTTCTAATAGGTTCCTAATTAAAAAAAATTATTTATAGTTTTGTAAATTATATGCAACATTTATAAATTAATATTTTATTAAATTAAAATAATTTATATTTTTTCGATTTTATCTGAATCAGATCCTTCGGATTTATCTCTTTTTTCTGTACTTGCTTCATCTTCAGAACTTGAAATGCAAAATTCACCATCATGCCTTAATTTATTCTATATATTTCAAAACAATTCGAATTAAATTAAATTAATAAATCATTAACTCTTCCTGATGATCACTTGTACCAAATTCTTCTTGAAAACAATTGCTATTTACTTAAAATTTTATTAAGTAAACTACCTTTGGCTGCCTAAGTAAAGTTGCTCTACACTTAATTTTACTTATAAGTGGTCTAGTTTTATAGTTTTAAAGCTCTTAGATACTAAGTTATAACTAGATTTTTAAAATTTAATATTTTGCTGTTTACTTAAAATTTTATTAAGTAAACCTTCTTTGGCTATTAATTAAAAAAGATTAAGCTCAACCAGAGCTTTAATTTGATATATAATATATTCAAAACGGATAAATACTTCTAATTTTATTAACAAAATACTATTAAACTCTGTTGCAAAAATTCTGCTTAATTTTTACAAAAAATTTTTTATATTTTTTGGGGCATCCTGCTCCCCCTAGGCGCCCAAACTTGCAGATCCCAATTACTAATTCATATTACTAATCAATTTACACAATTCCAATCTGTTTCATCTATTTTTATACACAAAACTTTTTTACTATTTTAGTTCTAATTAAATTTATACAAATTTTAGCTTCTGACAATCCTGTCAATCCGCCGATTATTATACTGTGTGATACCTTATTTGTCACATCCCTATTTGTCACATCCTCTTATTTGTCATGCTCTATTATTTGTCACACCCCCTTACTGGAACTACCAAACCTCATCCAACACTATGCCTACCTTGACTTCTGTAGAATCTGATTCTTACAACCTTGACTACTATCACAAAAACTATCAAGACCGTTATAGTTTAGGAACTACTGAAAAAACTATCAACTCTCTTTGAGTTCTTCTAATAGCTTTTAAACCAAATGCTTGTGATTTAACCAAATTACAACATTTCTTCCAAGTACCTCTTCAACCATCCATTGGTAAATGCTATTGTAGCAAATATTATACTAGTTTTACTTCTGAATATTACAGAATTTTATATATACAACACACTGCTATTGGTGAATCTACAACTATGATCTCTAATATTTCTACTAATCAATTAACCAAAAAATGTGATCCCTTACCAAAATCACCCAATACCAAAGCACCAGCCCAAGAAGATTCTCATCAAGCTAAGCCACAAATTCTGTTCCCTAGAATCCAAACTAATCCCAATTCTATGGCTATTATTTTACACTCACAACACTACCATATCTGCGTCTTTTGCAGAACTAAAAACCTTCCTTGTGTATCCACAAACCAGAATAAGCATGCACCTGACTACACTACAGCTGGCCTTTTTAAAAATCGCTTAATATACAGAGCATGCATAGCACATGTTCCAAATATGAAACTTAAACCTCTTGTACAAACAGCCCCACTTAACTTTACTCAAAAAATAGTTATATCTTTCATTAAAGCAAAACAGGAAGCACCTCTTACTCCTCACCAAGCAATCATCATCTCTTTAATTAAACTTCGTAAACTTTCTGTTAAGGAAAGAGGCCAAATTCTGGCTTCATTATTTCCTAAACAACAATAGCAACAGCAACAACAACAACAACAACAACAACAGTTGCATAGAAATCAAAATAAACCAGAACAACAACTCAACCAAAATAAACAGAAACAAAAAGAAGACCAAGAACATCAACAAAAATATGAACAAGAACCTAAACAAACACATGATACCTCTAATGACCTTGATTGGTTCCAAAAATATCCAATTACTGAAACTATGAAACTTTATATCAGATTTGATAACATACTTACACACCAACTCTTTGAATTTATCAAACCTCATCTTATTGATGTCTATCCTGGTAAAGTTATTAAACCGGCAACTGAAAACTCTAAAGAACTTAGATTCACATACTCTTATCTTATTAAAAAAATGGCTAGATTAAGATCTCAATTTCTTATCAATTTTATATATGCAAACAATACTGATATCAATAAGGCTATCACTATTCTCTTTGATATTCTTCACTCTACACTTGAAGCACTATTAAAAGAATTTATTACATCAGCAAATTTAAAAGGGCATAATATTCGAAATAATTTATGAAACATAAAAAAACCATAATATTACGTAAGAAATTTTAAAAAATTGCAAAATATCAAAATTATGAAATATTACGTAAGATATTTCGAAATTTTTCGAATTTTTTATGTAATATTACAGCTTTTTTACTGCGCAATTAATTAAAAGCCAAGATCTTTGCATCTGGTAGATCTGGTTTTTTTTAAATTGCTTCGTGTTTTTTTTTGATTTTTTTATTTTCTCTTTCGTATTTTTTTTTATTTTCGATTTTTTTTTTTTTATTTTTCCAATTTTTTCCTTTTTTTTGAATTTAATTTTGAAAATTTTTTTTAATTTCTTTTTCCCAATTTGTTTTTTTCTTTTCGATCAAATTTTTTTCTTTTTTTAATTTTTTTTAATTTTTTTTTTATTTAATACTGTAATACTGTATTTATTTATTTGTTTATTTATTCTATTTATTTCTTTTTTTTTCTTTATCAGTTTTTTTTTCTTGTACCAATACTAACCTATTTTTTTCTTTTTTTTTTGTTCTTTTCGCTATTACTTTTTTTATTTATTTATTCTTTTAAACTAATACTAACCACTCTTTCTTTGTAAGTATAGCTTTGTTGAAATACCTGATAGTAAATCGGAAGCGTCTTTTTGTAAGTATTTCTCTTTTATTCTTTTCGCTATTTGCTTTTTCTTGTTCTTTTCTTGAACTAATACTAACCACTCTTTTCTTTATAGATATGGCTTTGCTGAAATACTGAGTAGTTTTATCAGACAGCAAGTTAATAGAGAACAGAATCAGGATCACTGGGCTTGGATACAGAAAATGGCGCTAGGAATGTAATTCAGAATGGTGATTCAGAACGTGAACTGACATAAAAAGGCAAGTATCAGTTCTAATTGCTTTGACTTTTTTTTTCTCATATTATTTTTTGTTCTACTAACGTTTTCTCTTTTGTAGATTCATATTCTGCTTGGCTTGGGTACAGAAAATGGCACCGGGAATGTGATTCGGAATGGTGATTTGGAACATTAACTACTACCGTTTTCTCTCTTGTAGAAATGGTACCGGGAATGTGATTTAGAATGTGAACTGACATAAAAAGGCATGTGTTAGTTCTAGTTGCTTTGACTTTTTTTTTTGTTATTTTTTCGTTCTACTAACAGTTTTCTCTCTTGTAGGTTCGTATTCTGCTTGGCTTGAGTACAGAAAATGGCATCTGGAATGTAATTCAGAATGGTAATTCGGAACATGAACTATTACCATTTTCTCTTTTGTAGAAATGGCACCAGGAATGTGATTTAGAACGAGAACTGACATAAAAAGGCAAGTATCAGTTCTAGTTCCTTTGACTTTTTTTTTTATTTTTTCATTCTACTAACGGTTTTCTCTCTTGTAGGTTCGTATTCCACTTGGCTTGGGTACAGAAAATGGCACTGAGAATATAATTCGGAATAGTAATTCAGAACATGAACTACTACCGTTTTCTCTCTTGTAGAAATGGCACCAGGAATGTGATTTGAAACGTGAACTGACAAAAAGGCAAGTGTTAGTTTTAGTTGCTTTTGCTTTTTTTTTCTTGTATTATTGTTTCGTTCTACTAACGTTTTCTCTCTTGTAGGTTCGTATTCCACTTGGCTTGGGTACAGAAAATGGCACCGGGAATGTAATTCGAAATGGTGATTTGGAATGTAAACTGAGATAAAAAGATAAGTGTTAGTTTTTTCGGTTTATCTTTTTTTTTCTTTTCGTTTTACTAATGTTTTCTCTTTTGTAGGTTTGTATTCCGCTTGGTTTGGGAACAGAAAATGGCGCTGGGAATGGTGATTCGGAATGTGAACTAGATAAGTACCAGTTCTGGTTGCTTTTTTTTTTTTCTTGCATTATTTTTTCATTCTAACCGTTTTCTCTTTTGTAGGTTCATATTCCGCTTGGCTTGGAAACAGAAAATGGCACTGGGAATAGTGATTCGGAACATGAACTAGATAAGTACTAGTTCTGGTTGCTTTGTTTTTTTTTTTCTTGCATTATTTTTTCATTCTAACTGTTTTTTCTCTTGTAGTTTCATATTTTGCTAGACTTGAGTACAGAAAATGGTGCTGGGAATGGTGATTCGGAACCATTGAGTAATTGGTATTGAACGAACTACTTTGTTTTTTTAAAGAACAAAATAGTATAGAGCGTGTATATAATAAATATGTAATAAATATGTAATAAATAAATATAATAAAAAATTTAATATGTATAAAAATATATATGTAATAGTTTATATTTTGTTTTACGAATTGCAAATATTTATATCATATATGTCTGTTTAATTTCGAATTTTGCGAATTATTGTGAAATATTTCAAAATTTAATGCAAATATTTCGAAATCTTGCGTAATATATTTCGAAATATTTCGAAACATATTTTGAAATATTTCGAAATTTATTACGTAAGATTTCGAAATTAAAAATTTCAATATGTTCTAAAAACTCTTTCCTGTAAATCCTAATTTTATAAGTAAACAAACAAACAAAATAAAAAACAAAATTAGGACTAGCACGCTCACTTTATAACTATATAACTATTACTAAATAACAACACAACTAGACAACTAGAGCTTATTAAAATTAAACGGAATAGAGAGACAGCTTTCTGTATTCCAGTCTCCTTTCAAACTCTGTTGCCGACTACGTCGGCAACTAACAAGAACAACAACAAGAACGACAAAAAACGTGTGCCAAGCTTCCAGAGAAATAAAACACGCCTTATATATGTTGACATAGTAGATTGTAGCCTAATGGATACATCAAATAAGAAAAAGAAATGAAAAACAGACGAAGACACTTCAACCTTTACACTATTTACAACTGATAATAATTTGACTGAAGAAAATTTTGGAGAAATGGCAGACTCTAGCTTACCCCCGAATCTGACAGAAATGATGTTATCACCTGTAGCAACAACAAACCTGATCCGGAACCCCGAACAACTCCTGACACATAATTTTCTCACAGACGAACAAATAGAGCAGTTCCTGATCTAGGACCCGATATCATCTGATACAGTTTCCCTAACAACAAAACAACAGGAAGATGTAAACAATCTGACCCCATCCAATCTAAATTCTGGACCCAACCGTCCAATAAGCACCTTATCTAACATGGAAATGGACCAGGATATGATAGACCCAAGTAACGGAGACAATGAAGAGATCCGATCGATCGACACAGTGTTAGATGAACAGCCACAGGCAAAAATATTATATAGTCAAGCAGTTACAGAAGATCTCCCAAATAGAACCAAAAAGACCCAAATAGATACTTTATTAGTGACAAAGAAAAAGAATGGCGAGAATGCACACAAGCTGTCCTAAAAGAAATCAGACATGAAAGACTTGAGGTATTCGACACAACAATCTGGACCCGTCAGAAAATGAAAAATGCACTTACCTCACTTCAAGATCTAAAAGAATTAGTCAGATATAAGCTCTCTACAAAACCTATTAATAATTATATCTCAACTGCAATAACAGCAAAATTCTTCCATCGAGATACAGCCTTCTTTAGAAGCTTTACTAGAGTCTTAGCAGCTAGACCACAACATCAAAGGGAATTCAACAACTTATTCTTTAATGCTTTAGAAATATATAAAAAACAACATGACGTGCTAGCTACAAACAAGAAAAACCGAGACCAGATCTTTGAACTACTACGGGCAAAATTAGCTCTAGACTATCTAACCAATTTGGACTTCAATAAGCTAGACGCATGGGAAATTACAAGATACATATTCTACCTGGCAGGATTTGCAAAAATCCCCAAAAATTTGGAATTTGAAACAACACGCCGGGCAATTTCAAACCTTATTGCAGAAGCTCTAATACCCTTACCTGCAGAACCAAAACTTATTCCTAGCTACTTACAGAAAGCAATCTCATTCTTCCTACCAATTACAAACAGACAACTTACTGTGCTAGTCGCTATAACCTTATGGTTAATATTCTCTTTCGATAAAATGCCAGATACATATATAGCAGATATCAGAGAGCCTCTTTCTACCTCCTACAAGCAATTAAGAGATGAAGTGTGACATCTTTTCCCTATTACAAACAGAGCAAACTTACAGAAACTAGGTCAATACAGAGAATCTCTACAGGAATTTTATTTGTTCAAACAAATCCTTTCAGAATACTTCGATCTGCCTGCCCCAAAACAACCTCTACCTTGTACGCCACAAGAACTAACACCTAGATTAAAAGAAATGTTTTCCTTCCTGCCCAAAGATCAGAAGGATTTCAAAGAACATATTAGAATTCTACAGGTAGACTACTCCTTCTCAAGGCTCCCTAATGACTATATTATATCCCGACGTCGACTACCTGCAGACCCGACACAGTTGAAACTAACAAATTTTGCGTTTCCTCTACAAAGCAAAGAGGAAGTGAATACTTTTATCAAAAGTATTCTATTTATCTATAACATCCCAACACCACTACCACAAACATATTGTAACTTCAACTATACAGACCTTCCTGACCTATCTGAAAATGCTGAACTAGTGACCCAGGTCAATCTCACACTACCAATCTCAACTCCTAAAGAATTAAGTATGCAGCTAAAGCTTTGCATGAGCATTACTACTTTCACACAATATCCCAATCTTGGATTGATATTAAAAAAAAACAACAACAACAGGAAGCTGAATCAAACTTAACCAAACTACTTTTATCAATTGAACAACTTCAAGCAGCTCTTATAGAAAAAAAGATTACCAATATAAATGTCCTGATAAAAAAACACCATAATATTCCTGTGGTACTAGAAACACTCTGAGAACATTTTGCATATCATACAGTACCTGAATATATCTTCGACCTAGTAGATCTGCCAGAACCATTTTTCGAAATTTTTGAGGAACAAGAAAAAACTACTGCAACAATAGACCAACAAACAACATCCACAATAACGACAGATACACAAATGGGGGAAGCAGAATCTAACTCTAACATAGCTAACCAATGAGCACATCTTCCTCTGTAGAAACTCTGCTGACAGCAGAAAATGAGAATACATCAA